GATTGTTTTATTTAAGTTCCCGATTCCCGTTCCTGTCTTCCACCTACCTTCAATCTCGTGTGTTTTTTTTTTTTTTTTTTTTTTTGTTTAGGTTTAGAGAGGAATATTCTATGTATAAAGTAAGAGTGATGCAGAGGAGTAAGAGAGAGGCCACAGGCATATCATCGCCTGAAAAATTAAGAAGGTAGGAAAAAGTTTGGTCAAAGAAAACTAATAGTTTAGGGTAGGAAAAAGTTTGGTCAAAGAAAACTAATAGCTTAGTATTGCGTTGATGCCAATTTTTGGTCCATATAAACTTGTAGTCAAAAATATCATTTTTCATAAAGTAAATAATGACCCAAATGGTAGCCTAGTCGTACACTTCCTCTTCCTTACTAGTAGCCGACCAACTCTACTAGATAATTTTGCAATTATAAATAGTAGTCTTTTTACTATAGGTGAAGAAAGTAAATGGGGGAAAATTAAATATACATATACATAGATTTTTGGAGTGTTACTTATTACTGTATTTTATGAACTTAAGAAGTTTTGACAAAAAATAAAATAAAATTTGGCTAAAATGATTCGTGAGAATGAAAAAATATTATTCATTTTGGCTCCGTTTGTTTGGACATAAAATATTTTTCAAAAAATATTTTTTTATTTTCTGGTATTTGGTTGTCGTAAAATATTTACAAATAAAAAATATATTAAAATTTAATAAAAATAATTTATTCATAAATTTTTGGCAAGTTATTTTACTATTTTACATGTCCTGCCCGATGGATTCAACCTCAACCTCGACGTAAACCTTTGTCAAACATCGACAAAGTAAAAATAAAAGAATATTTTACCTGAAAAATAAAAAAAAAATTCGAAACGAATATTTTATGTCCAAACAAACGAGCCTTTAAATTGATACCAAACTACTCTTTTTACTGTTGTGAAAAACGACATCACATTAGTACACGTTGAAAAAAAAAAAAACACAAAAAGCGATAATGCACAAACATGATCCCAACGTACACATAATAAGTAGATTGACAAAAATAACTTTTAAACCTTTTCACAATTATATGTTCATTTGTATAAAAGTCATACATATGTTATATTACTATGAACCAAGAGGCACAATTAATCGAAGTGAGGACAAAAATAATATATATATACTCCTTATTAAACAAAGTGCCTAGGCAGAAACAACTTTTCGAGTCTTGTCCCACATTGAATTAGGTTGGAATGTTGGGCATGTAAGACAGTAAATGTGGTAAACAATGTCACTCAACAGTTTAAATTTTTTAGTGGCGTATCCAAAATTGAGACATAGACTTTCAAACTATATATTATTTTTAAAGTTGAATGAGTGTCCGGTATAATGGTGAAGTTCAATATCTGCTCAGACGGTTAGATTTTCACTTCTCAATTTTCTGTGGTCTGTGAATTCTATTAATAACCAAACTCAGGAGAGTTTATGAGAAATTCAATAGTTACGTGTTTATGGTTGTATAAATAGTAGTACATCTCAGGAAGAGCTTCCTCTCATAGCTCAGCTCAACCAGCTCCAGTCAACAAGGCTTTTCAAAATTCGAAAGTTCTTTGCTCCATACCCAAAAGGCAGCTTCAAACTCTTATAGCTAAAAGCAGCATTTAGAAGTCATTCCGAAAAGGGCCATCTAAGAATTACTCTACTGCTACCACATTGAATGAACCATCTAATTAACTATCAATAGTGATTGTTCATAGATGTGAATCATTTAACTCAATCCTGACATTCAATTATGCATTGACTCATGCTAAACTCTTGAGTGTTGGTATTTATTATGTATAGATTAAGGCTAAGTATGATTGTGTAATTTTTCCAAGTTTTTGCATTGTGACAGCACAAAAACGTTGCATTTGGGAGCAGTTAAATTGGCATTTTGAATTTGAATTGAAGATAACTTAAGAAAAAATTTTCAATATTTCAATTTCAATGAGCCGATTGGTGCTCCCAAACATAGCTTTTAAGTGTGTGTGTGTATATATATAAACGTCCAATACAAAAACCTTCATGTTGCATTCTATGAAACAACCCAGTAGCTTCTTCTCTATATTCATTTTGAGCATACCCAAGAATCAGTGTTCCAAGTCACAAGTTCACAAATTTCCATCCGAACAAAAACACAACGTGCCATATTTAAACAACCGCATTCTGAATGCATATCAATTGCGGATTCAGACAACAAATATATCAGAATCAAATGTTAATTTTATTGAACAACAGTGCACTGTTCTGCTCTACAATCTTAGAAAAAGCCAAACCAGCACAAGCCTTAACAAAATGGCAAGAGTAAAATTTGTAACAAACAATGTCGAATCAGAACAATAGTTTATCATATGATAAAACAAACCACAAGCTTCTCTATGCAAACCCATTTATAATCATCGTATGGAAGAATTAGGTCAGCACATTAAGGACTTTTCTGCACGTATAAAATCTATTTGGGATCTATTAGCTCTTTCAGAACCACCTTGGGAACATCCTCTTGAGGCCAAGAAATTTGTTCCATGAGACAGCATCTCGTTTGACCATTTCATCAAACACCCAACAAATCCACTACCCTCTCATCCAATTGGGTAATCCCCAGAGACGTGGTACAATTAAGAACACTACAATAGAGAATTTGTAACCGAAATAGGAGAATGTAATGGATTCTGACCATATAATCAAGAATATTGCTATAGTTAAATGTGAAGTGTCTATATATGCAAATTACAAATTGTGAACTGATGATGAAGGTCCAATTCTAGCTGCCACCACACACAAAAAAAAATAAAAATAAAAAACTATGCTAATTTATTTGATTTTTTCTTGAACTAAGTGAACATGTGTGATCATCACATGATTATCAGATTTAGTTGAAAAGAGTGAGATAATAAAATTGTAAACAATAATTTAACAACACCCTAATCAAGAGTAATGTTATTTGTAAAACAGTATTGTATAATTTCAAATACCTTCTCTGATCAAAATATATCTGAATAGAAGTACAAATGGTCGGCTTATTCCACTAATTTTAACAATACCATTCTATAAATCATTTTCCTATTTGATATTTGTGGAAAATTTTCACATACTAAAAATAATAGAAAGGCATTGAAGTACATATGGTGGGTGACTAGTAGTTGAATTGTTGAGGATTTGATTAATGTTTTCAAACGAAGTGGCAATAGCAAGTTTAGGATTTCCTTAGCAATACTGTAAGTAATTTATCTATAACTTGTTTACTAATCATAGGTTCATGGTTCATTATATGAAGCAAGTGGTAGTGTGTGACTAAGTATTACAAACGAACCAACAACAGAAAATTTCAATAAAATGTTTCTTTCAACAATTAAGAAGTTGGCCACAAAGTTATTGAAGGTGAGTAATCTGCTCTCTATATTGAGAAAGTAAATTTTGTTACACCTGTATCGGATCCCTTTACATTTCTTTCTTTTCCTATTTATAAAAGTCTCCCCATGCCCTAATAATTTTTAGGGCCTTTCTAAACCCTAAGACAAAATGGGCCTAATCCTTCCTCAACGGGCTCATCTTTCGCTTGGGCTGATCCCTAGGTTAAAACAAGCCTCGCATGAGAAAGAATGGGTTGGGAGATCACTGGGCTTCCTTCTTAACTGGTGGGCCGGGCTGGTCCTCCATTCTTCCTCAACGATGAGAAATATGAAATCGCATATTGATTGGGAGAAAAGTTGTTAACGTTTCTTATAAGAAGATGTCTTTTACATGTGGAGATGTTTATTATTAATATTTTGAACACAATACCGCAAATCTAAAGTTTCAAGCATCCAATTTTTTTCTGCTATTGACATTTATACACAAGTCATGAAACCAAAAACCTTCATGTTGCATTCTAGTAGATTTTACTCCATAATCAATTTAAGCATATATATACCCAGTATTATCCGAAAAAAATATATATACCCAGTAATCATAGTGTTCCAAATCAAAAGATCATGAGTTTCCATCCGATCAAAAGCACAATGTGACATATTTAAACAACCACATTTTGAATACATATCAATTGCAGACCCAACAACAAATATATCCGAATCAAAAGTTAATTTAAACAAACATGCATTGTTCTGCAATCTTAGAAAAACCTAAACCAACACATGCTTTAAGAACACTAACAAGAGTAAAAATTATTAACAAACAATTTCCAGTCATTTATCATATGATAAAACAAACCACAAGCTTCTCTAAGCAAACCCATTTGCAAGTACCTTGGAACCATCAAATTCCTTAAGCATTTCATCGAGCACATGACAAGCTTCAATTTTGCAGTCACGCTTTGACTACATTTAATCCACCCCTCTCATCAACTTTGGGCAATCCCTGGAGATGTAGATTTCAAATGAGATAAGTAAATGAACAACACTGTAATAGAAAATGTGTAACCTGACAATAGAAGAATGTAACGGATTTTGACCATGTAAAATTAAGAATATTGATACGGTTACAGTTTTAAAACTGTTAAAATATAAGGGACTACTTGGTTTGTAACTCTAAGAACAATTTTCTGTTTTCAAAAAATTGAAAACAAAAAACTGTATAAAAGAACTCTTCTTGGTTCAGTTTTTTGAAAACTCAGTCTACTTTATGCAAATTACAAAATGTGTACTGATCAAAAAGATATTCAATAGTTATGCATTTGTGGTTGTATATAACTAATAGTATATCTCAAAAAATGGGCTTCCTCTCAAAGCTGATAGCGACCACCTCCAGTCAAAAGCTCTTTCGAAATCTAAAAGCTCTTTGCTGCAAACCATCCACACTGCAAAAGGTTGTTTGAAGCTCTAAAAAGCTGAAAGTGGCTTTTTAGAAGCCAGCCCGACCTATAACTATTTAATGTTATAGGTATTTAATGTTAATGTTTAGACATTGAAAGAACCGTGTGACTACCAATAGTGATGGCTTATCGTTGTGAACTATTTAATGCAGTGACTAATCTGCTACCTTAAGACTGTTGTTGATATTCAATCTGGATTGAGGCTTCGTCCGATTTTTGTTTAGTTAAGAACATTAACAGATGATGTCTAAATCTAACCAATCAAAATTTATAGGTCATCCAATTCACTTCGACACTGGGGGCCCAAGAATCACTAGTCAAAAAAGTTTAAAACCAATATAGGTTTTCATTATTAATAGTTAATACTACGTACTTAGTATTTATAATTCAATATTTCATAGAGATAAGACATATTGATATTGACACAGAGGAAGATGAAGGTGAAGTGCAGAGTAATTTTTTATTATAGGGCTAGCTGAATTATTATTCAAGTAATTTTGGAAGAGCTTTAGGGTACAAGTCCCAAGTTCAGGAGAACCCAAAGACTTGTCTTAGGGCATAAGAGGTTGTCATTGTAATAGAGGAAATTGTAATTAAAAAAGATTGGGCATGGCTACTTCATCCACCCACCACTCCTCCAACTTGGATAAATAACAAAGACGTAGAAATTTGAGTTGAGGGAAACCCTCCTCAGAGCAAACCATTCCCACTCCCTCAATGGCTTCAAACAACCAGGAGATGTGTCTTCAGTGACGCAGTTTCCCGAAGACGAGGTGTGTTAAGTTAGGCAGTTTCCCCAGTGTTAGCATTGGATCCTCCTTGAGTTTAGATCCACTTAAAAATAATATGGTGAGGCTTGGAGAGAAGTGGTGTACTGCAGGTAACTTACCACCTCCAATAACACCATTTAATTTCTATGTATTAAGATGACGACACTCTATCAGTTTTCTCAAAACAACTATCTCTTCTTCTGACTTAAAGTTATGCCACATCTCAATTGATGAGTGCCGTAGCCGACTGGGGCTGCTTAGATAATTGACGAAGTCGGCCGCCACCACGTCGTCACCAACAATACATGCTTTGAGTTTCCTAAGATTTCTTTAACATCACACCTACTTGAATCGAAATTTTCCAGGATCTCCAGCTTGCCCAACCCTGACAATCTCATCTTTTTTCCTTTGGTTTTTCTCCAGCTTGCACTTTCACAAAGATACAGTTGTGTCAAGCTTTTTGTCTTCCATAACACATTTGGTATTCTCATACGATAATTATCCCTTAAATCTAGGGTTTGCAAGCATCTCAAGTTGCCTATAGATGATGGCAACGATTTGAGTCCTTCACAACCTTTTAAACTCAAGTATCTCAAATGGATTAACTTTCCAATTGCTTTGGGTAACTTTCTAAGTCCCCTCACTTCAAGATGAACAACTCTCGACACCTTCAAGTCTTTCCAATGCCATGAATTTATTATCCATGGCCTCCAATCATATCCTCCGAATAAAAGCAACGACAGAAGGTAGTACTGAGTTGAAAGCCAATCACCATGGTCCATAATGCTCCTCCTCCTTCCCCAGGATGGCAACTCTGCGTACTTTAGCATTTGATGATGATGATGATGATGAAATTTTCTCAGAATCAATCACATTGAAAAAAATTTCTTCTTTACTTCTAGACTTGCTTAATTCTCGCATCATGTCGTGAAGCCTGCAATATTTAAAGCTTTCAAATCTAGATCCCATGGACTCTACTCCCAAGTGAACCATGTACCTATTTGCCAATTCACTCAAGTAACGCTCTGCAACGTCCATCATTGTGTCTTCTCCTTCTGTGTCACTTGACAATATCAAGTCTTCGGCTATCCACAATTCATATAATTTCTCTAATTCAATCCCAGAATCCTCCGGAAAGCTGCCTAAATAGAGAAAGCATCGCTTCAACTGATATGGTAAGTCATCGTAACTTAAAGCCAACACTTGTGATACTCCTCCATCTTCATGCCCCACACTTGTACCCTTACTTATGTGTGAATTAATATTCCTATGCACCTTCTCCCACTCCTCCTCTGTATGTTTGGTTACCAAAATACCTCCAAGCACAACAACAGCTAATGGTAGACCTTCACAATGTCTAACCATTTTGATCCCCAACTCCTCAATCTTTTTGTCAGGTCTATTGTCTGCAAAACCCAACATAGTAGTAGTAGTAGTTAGGAAGGGGAACAACGGTCGTTCATACAGGACAATAAAAAAACATTGATATGCCAAACACCTAGTACCATTTATGAAAAAATGTATGAAAAAATGTACTCCACAACAACCAAATTTAAACTTTTAAGCTATATTAAATCTAAGAAATTATGAAAGAAAAGGAAAGAGAAAAAAAAAAAAAAATATATATATATATATATATATAAGAAATGTGAGAAAATTAAAGTGGAAAACTAATTACTTGGTCATGGGAACCACAACCAGCACTAAATTACTTTATTGTACAAATTTTAAATGTTTTGTCATCAGTGAAATCTCCTCACCTATAATCTTATAACTTTATTTTCAGTAATGTTCAAATTGTTTTATTTATTAAAGGCATGAAGCTAATTTATTTAAAATCAAGACTGAATTAACTTATTAAATATTTCTCAAGTGTCAAAATTGGAAGCCCCTTATAAATTCAGCCATTTTCGTTTATCTTTTTGGTGCCAAAATATTTTCTGCAATTTACTCCTTACAACCCAAAACAACTCAGTAGCTAGGATACTATGCAACTTTAAGTTGTCAGACAATTTATACATGTACAACAAAAAATGAGCAAGAATACGTTCCTGGGCCAAGTAACCTGACAACTTATATTATATGTATAAGGATTGTTTTGGATGCATTTAAGAATTCTTAATGAATTTACCAACAGGTTAGTGGCTAACGGTATCAACCCCTTACATTTTAAAGGGAGGTTAAAAATTTAAGTCTCAGTAAAAACACGTGTGTGTGAGTATCAACTAAAAAAAAGAATTCTTAATTAATTTCAAGAGTTGTAATGCACCTATTATAGCCATTGCCAAGGCATATCAACGATGCTGACTATCCTAAAATTAGTTGACTTTAGTTATGTTTGTTTAAAAAAACTGAATTGTAATTTCAATTGTGTTCATCCACAAAACTCAAAGTGATACACAGTAGTCATATAATAAGAGCTCCCCAAATCCTGAATTATTTATGAAAATTCAATTTCTAACCTTTTAGGTAGCTACCACATTAATTCAAGTTCTTTACATTTCTGTTGCAATAACAAGTCATTTAAGGAACAATCAAGGTTATGTATTGTTACAATTTCAGTCCACAAAACTAACAAGCCACTAACTAATAGATTTAATTTAACTATATTAAATGAGACATTTAATAACTATGCAATGATTCATGTGGAGTGGGGACTAATTATATACCATACCTGATGAACCGTGTGCTCTTCTAAATGCTTTCTTTTGAAGCAGTTCCCAAGCTTCACCGTCATTCAATAGCCGTGGTTCATGGAGGAATCCACGTGGATTCACATATGAAGCCAATTGTTTATTACGGGTGGTGAGTAATATTTTGCTGCGTGTCGATTCTCCAATCGGAAATGCAAATTTCAAGATGTCCCAATCCCCCTGTTCCCAAATTTCAAGAATTATTAAGCATCTTTTATCAAGTTGGACTTGATGGAGCTGCCTAGTTAATTCCTCATCTCTCATACGGCGAATCTCCTCCTCCTCCTTCTTGGGAAGAAGTTTAATAAGGATCCCTTGCAAAACATCTTGTTTCTGGGGTTGCTGAGAAATACAAGCCCAAACAAGATAATCAAAGTGACACTTCGCATCGTTGTGGTTGTAGACTTTTTGAGCAAGGGTGGTCTTGCCCAAACCACCCATACCACATATGCAAACCGTTTGATAATTATCTGTGCCTTCATTCACCAGATGTCCTACCAATTCCTTCACATCATTCTCCAATCCTACGAAATCCTCTTCAACCACATGCGAATAAGTCATTCAAAACCCAATACGATAACAATATTGGTAATAAATATTTTGAATGATACATAACACGTTCCAAGAAAATGCACCAAGAAGGATTTTGTGAGATTATATTTAATTGCATCCCCAAATACAAGTCCAATACATCATTTAAAGACCGAATTACAAAAGTCTCATTTTATTCAAATTTTAAAAGAATTAAATACAAGAGTAAGGCCTCTATGACCAAAATTTACATAGCTTTGGTAAAAATAAAAGTGAAGTCCTATCTACATTGATATCCATTGATGCATGTTATTCACAGGCTCATCTTCAATCCCTGAAAAATGTTAATAATGATAGGGTAAGCTCAACAGCTCAGTAGAGTAAGCCTAAAATACAGTCCTAAAAATCCTGTAAGCCACAACCAAAGAATGGGAATCAAAGAAAAGGGATTATGGGGTTATGAAGCATAACAATCATACACCAATTTTGTGAATTCATAATAACATTCAATCACATGTAAAAATGCAAATGCCCCATTCTCCTTTGCAACCCAATCTCACCAAAACCCCCGTAACTTCACCTTATCTCACAGCACAAATCATCACCTCACTTCTCTACCTTCTCTCCCACATCAAAGCTTCATTCTCTCAATTCACCCCATGCCAAGCTTATGCATAACATGCTACCGTTCATACAAGTCATGATACACATCATTAATATATTAAAAAAAATCCAAGTATAAGGATTAAACACATAAGTCATATTTTCAAAATTTCACATATAGAAATTTACATGCTTGACACAATTATAAGAAACCATCATAGTCTCAACCCACAACAATTAAATCAACACCATCTCGTGCTTATTATCACAACAAAAATTTACACACTAAGCATGTTTCACAACATCAAAGTAATCATGTAAGAAAATACATAGAACTCACTAAAATCGTAGGAATTGTAAGTTAAACTTCCCCTACCTCAAGATAGTAACTCTAGCTCCAAGCTCCAAACTTAAATCCCACCAAAAGCTTGCAATACATGTACTAAGACGAGCCCTTGCAATGGTCTACAATTTGCCAACTATGGCTTAAACCAAATCCTCTCTAGCATGAACAAATTTTTTAGAGAAGGGAGAGAGCAATATAGATGGAGAAATAGAAAGAAAATAGAGAAAGAAAGAGCTTGTGGCAGTGGTCCAGAAATGAAAGGAAAAAGGGAAAGAAATGGTCTAGAATGAAGCCACCTCATGTCTCTAGAATTCTCTAGGCTATTCTATGAGTTAAAATGACAACAATGCCCCACGAACTTCTTTGTATCTTCAACGTTGCCATAAAATACCTCCTCCCATAAAATACTACTAATACCACAAACATACATGTATAGATATACACATACACATATGAAATGCCGATAACGCCTCTCACTTAAGATGAGAAAGCCGGAAGAAGTTCCTGAGTCCGGAAATCGTCCCGACCTCCAAAAATTCTAAAAATTATACCATCGCTTCTAATTAACTTAAAATGAATAAAAATACCCTTTTAAAACCCTCGACTCAACAATTGACCAAAACGCCCCTCGGGGCCAGCATGGCACGCAAAACGAGACAAGGATTAAAATAATTTAGAAAATCAAATAAATTCTAGAAATTAAAAAAACGAAAAAAATTGGTAACGTCACAATCTCCCCAACTTCAAAAGATTTCGTCCCCGAAATCAATCCTCCTCACAAGAGAAAGACGAGAGGATACAAAAACGGAGTACGTCTCCGAGTACCCCACGCAACACGTTATACCTTAAAATCCCAATCTAAAGAATCTAACGTTCTATGTCACTCGCAACCCTATGCTTGTGACTCCACATAATCTCGATCGAACAATGCCCACAGTCACATGCGACCTTTCCATCACGACAACCAACTGAATGAAAAAGGCATCACAGTGTCGAACAAAGCTTTTTACCACCACCTACATACACACGAGGAATTAGCCCCCAACCAACTTCATGACCCCACAGAGTCCCATCTGACCTGTCAAAAGTACCATCAGGTACCTGGGAAAATAACCCAGCAGCATAGCTCAAGGATCAAGGAATCCTACAACTGAAACTCCTTAGACACGTAGTCCCATACCAAGTGCACCACCATCCATAACAAATGACCTGAATATGTACAAAGAATACCATCAACCCTAAATGAGACTTATTCTAAAACGAGATCGTATTACCACACGTACGCAACGCACAACACCGTACTCCAACTGTCACTAAGCATACTAAAATCAATGATCTTTGACCTTTAACCCAACATTATGTTAAAGAAAGATTGACAACAAAGAAATGGTTGGCCAAACCATTCCCATCGTCCATCTGACCTCAACACTAATGTCATCCTTGTCATCAGGTCCAATCCTCAAGTACACCCACACACCAATCTCTATGTCCACTCTAGACACACGGTCTAACCATTCTCAACACACAAGTCACATCACAACTACTAGATGCTATCACTAACTCTAAGACCCTAAGAAAATGTACACACCGGTAAACAAGTCGCGTCTCACGCCGTATCGATCACAACCTCTCGAAACGAATCCCACAAAACTAAGAACTTCACCTCTTACCATGGAGCTAAGTTGAACGATTAAGATCAAACCTTCACTCGGAATCCCTAAAAAAGAGGGAACTCTACAAAGTCCTTCCGTTCGCTAGAACGCACAACCCCTATATGGATACACAAAACTCACAAACAAGAAAGTCCTTACCAGTACCAACACAAGAAGAAAGAAGATCAAGTTCCACTACCGCAACAGAGCAGAACACATATCTATCGATACCTTGCATAAGTTATGCCAAGAAGGAGGATCTAAACAGAGACGAAACAACGCGATCCGTAACTTGTACACTTAACATCCATATGTAAACGAGGGCAGTGCCCCTTCCCAAACACTAGGGCTAGACAACGATTCCTAAGACATCGCGTCCCACCCTATCTAAAGCAGAACCTTAACAAGTGAAATTCCAAACATTCCATTCATAGTTACAACTAGGCAATGCTAACCACTACATCAATAACCTTTAAAGTAGCTAAAACCTTTCTGTCATTAATCCATCATCGAAACCATTACATAAGAGCTCAAAATACACATCATTATCTGATATAACTGTCTAGAATACTTATATAGTCTTACAAATACATCATTGCTTTAATACATAACGGGTACAACTGATACATCATCACAACTTAAAACTCATACAAAACTCCTTGATCTATATCCTGCCCCAAGGGCCCACACTAAGCATCATCCGGTCCGGAACCACACTACGGGATATGTCTACCATCCTGGCATAGATGAACCGACACTGTATAAAGTGCACGGCCACCTGTCCAAACTCACGGGTTGCCCCCGTTACCAGAACAACTGTGTGCAGGTACCTCCTATCACACCCAAACTCGCAGGTATCCCCCGCTACACAATCACAGGTAACCCCTATTACAGAACTCGCAGGTTTCCCCCGCTATACAGTCACAGGTAACCCCCGTTACTGTACCAGACTCACAGGTATCCCCCGTTATAACATGACACGATGCACTGACAACAACATGACAAAATGCACATATGATGATGTGACATGACTACCCAATAACTATGCAACACGACTGACAAACTACTATGTAACTCGACATGACTCACAAATAACAGTGCAACACAACTTATAGACGACAATGCATCACAACTCATAGGTGACCATGTGACACGACATGACTCACAGATAACCATGTAACACAACATGACTCATAGGTAGCCCCCGTTACAACACGACACGACTCACAGGTATCCCCCGTTACAACACATGCCGGCTCACAGGTGTCCCCCGTTGCAACCGACACGACTCACAGGTATCCCCCGTTACCACAATCACAGGTAACCCCCGTTACAAAACTCACAGGTAACCCCCGTTACATCTAGCATAACTGTGTATAGGCAACTGCCTAATCTCACAGGTATCCCCCGTTACACAAGAATCAATCACGATAATACCTCATCTCCTCTATAGACAATCCCTCTTCATGTGGCCCGACTGACCACATCGAAAGCAAACTCCGAAACTAGGTCTATCAAGAGGACACTCCACCTTACGGTGTTCTAGCTGCTTACAATGATAACATACTAAGCTTGTCCTAGAAGGCTCAGAAGAAACACCAACAATAGGAGTAGCACTTGCCGTTCGCTGCTCTTGAGTAAACAAGGAAACATCCATGTGCCTCTCCTGTCCCGACTCCTAGAAGGAGTACCCATACTCATACCTCGTTCCTGAGAACCCACGGTATCACTCCTCTCTTGCCAATCCTTGGCTTCTGCTTCTACCATTAATGCTCTCGTAACCGCTTCAGAATAATTCTTTAACCCCAAAAGTGCCAACCCTGGCCTAATGGAACAGTTTAGGCCATACACAAAACACCATGTCTTCTCCTCCTCGTTCCCTAACACATCCGTAGCGAAACGTGAGAGAGAAGTGAACTTATTCTCATACTCTGTTACTGACATGTCACCTTACTTGAGACTATCGAACTGCATCCTTAATTCTCGTCTCTTAGTCTGTGGGAAATACTTTTCAAAGAAAAAACTCTTGAATGCATCCCAACTCATACTGTCAATATTATGTGCGTTAGTCATGGTCTTCCACCATGCTGCTGCGTTACTAACAAACTTGTACGTAGCTAAGGTGATCTTCAACCGATCACCGGGCACTGCTATTGCCCTGAAATGCTTTTTAACTTCATCCAACCAATCGTCCGCTACCAATGGATCTGGACCTCCTTCAAATGTCACTTTCGTGAGCTTGTTAAATTGAAGCAGATACTCAAGATTCTGCTCTATCTCTATCTCTTGCGGTTAAATAACCGATTGCGGTACCACTTGAGGGACTGTGGTACTTGCAATTTTCTGAAAGACTAAAGCTACAACCCTTGCCACCAAAACTTCGTCCTCTGGATCATCGTCCACCTCTCTTCCTCGGTCCTGTCCCAGTG